GTTGAATCAAAAATAGCTAGGATTGTTGACAGAGATGGCCGGGCTCCTTGATATAAGTAAAGGAGCGTGGTCCGAATTGATGATTGGTAGATGCTAGCTTGACTGTTATGTCAGGGAAGTTTATCTTCCATGCTATGTTGCCCATTGCTCGATCCAGCCTAGCTCCCCTAAAAGCTTCCGAATCGAGGCCCCTTCTCCAAGTAAATTTAGCTCCTTCAAAGCCTAAGTCCACCAAGCCTTCCCTGGCGATCCAGTGATTGAACGCTGCACATCTACTGGAGGAGAATCCTTCTTTGTTGCTAACTTCATCTTGGAAGGTGACTGAGTTGAAGTCCCCAGCCACAAGCCATGGCCAGTTGTGATCCGGGAAATTGTCTGTTAGATCCGTGAACAGGAAGCTCCTAAGATGATAAGAGGGGCTGCCATACACAACGGAGAAGTTCCAGGCTGTACCCGCTGCATCCTCAACCTGCAAGGAAACAAACTGTGGGTGAGTCTAGTAAACAGCTATATTCATACAAAGTTTCCACATGATCCAAATGCCTCCAGAGAACCCCACGGCCTCCACTCTTACCCACTCATCAAACCCAAAATTAGAACAAATTTTATTTGCTTGATTTCCCGAGACTTTCGGTTCAAGCAGACACACAATATCCGGTTTATGTAACCGTAGAAAAGTGTTCAAGGTGCGCCTAAAAGAATTGGAGGCCGCACCTTGGCAATTCCAGACTAAAATAGACATAAATATGACACAAAGTAAAGGAATGCGCTTAGGAGCGCAGATGGCCAGGGGCCGCAGGACCACAAAGGTCATCATTGACTAAATTCTCCATCATCGCAGTATCTAGGGGTTCAACTGGCACGGGGGGAAATTGAGGGGGTCCGGGGGGTTTTCTTTGAAGGTATTCTCAAAGACTGCCGTTAGTGGTGAGGCCTGCTGGTGATCCGAATGGCACACCACCGTTGACACAATATCTTTCCCTTTGTTTGATCCCCTGACTACGGTGTGCTCGGATTCGGCTGCTGCCCGGTTGGGTGTGCCACTTCTGGGCTCCCGAGTTCCAGTTGCATTTTGCCTATTAGCCTGGGATCGTCTGGGAGTGATGGTAACTCTTCTCTGCTGACTAGCCACCACCATTCTTCGTTGTGGATTCTGGGTTCTCTGTTGCCTGAGATTGGTCCTAATATTTTGGAGTGGCGTATTATGGACTAGTGGTGTTCCACCCTCCGGTTGGGACGGTAGCTCTTGGCCTCTGCTCTGCTGTGATGGTTGCCCATTATTCCGAACAGGGTGATTCTGGGATGTACTGGCACTAAACACCATCCGCGGGGGTGCGGACTCTCGATGATGTCCTTCCATCTGCTCCTGGTGAGAATCTTTGTCAAGAATTGGTTCCTCTTCATCTAACCCATCCAACGGTCCGAACCTTGAATGTGTTGCAGTGCCAGGGGGCGTAATTTGGTTGGTGCTCACCGGGACTTGCTGCCTATCTCTGGGCTGGCTACCTGTATAGCGATTATTGTTCCTACCATTATTGCGTCTGTCTCTCCGCGTCACCAACATCCACGACCCATATTTCTCTGGTGGTTTAGGAATAGGGATCACAGTCTGCTCTGCCGTGGTTGCGTGTCCCCCATCTTCCATAGCTTGACCTTCCTCCATCTCCTTGCCACATGAGTCTTGCCGATGCCCATAAATGCCACATTTAAAACACACGAGATGTATACCTTCGTACTCTATAGGCCAATCCACCCCGTGCAATACGAACTTTGAGACCAGCGGCTTCATAATATCCACCTCTACACACACTCTGGCGAATTTGCCTTTTGAAGCTGCGCTTGTGGTGGTGTCAATTTTGACCGGCCGGCCAATTGACTTCCCCATTTTCTTCAGAAAGTCATCATTGAAGTACTCCATCGGTATAGCTGGGAACCGAATCCACGCAAAAACCTTGCTTGTCTTCCTATTTCTTGTGTCAAACTTCGGCTCCCACTCCTGGACCGTGATATAGTGGTCAAGGACCATCCAAGGTCCACCAAGCTTCACATTTTCATAATCCTTTGCAGAATAAAACTTCGCGATGTAGTAATCATTACTGAGGGCGATTAATTCAAAACCAGACTCCGTTTTCCACATTCTTGATAATCTTTGAAATAGGTAAGAATAGCTTACTGTTCTGCCCAATAGGTGGAGGATAAGCGATCGACACCATGGGCGACGTAGACGTTGTTTTTCCTCCTTCGTCACTCTGATTACCGGAAATCCTTCGGCGCTGAACTCATTCTCCCCGCCTTCGTCATCCGAGGCTTCTTCTTTCGGGATATCCGAATAGCTTGCCTGACTGGGTCTAGATCGGCCCCATGCAACATGCGGTGTGGTACCAGGGGTTCCCCACTGGTTGGAGCCCGATGACCTTGCTACCTCCGCCATCGGAGTACCTCGGGGTTCTGCTTCCAGTGTGGGCGAGGCCAGCGCGTCCACTTCTACCCGTCCCCTCTTAGCTCTCCTAGTGCTTCTTTCAAGTAGATCCTGGTCCTCCGATGACCGGTGAGTCACCGACGGGCAAGGTTCATCAGTCGTATTCATCGGAGAGTTCTCCATTACCGTTCTTGACTTTCTTGGAGCATACGCTCAGCCGTTCATATTAAAATGTAATTTTTAATGTTCTCCCTTTGAAACATATTTATTTTACATTAATTACCTAAATCATATATGGGAACAAAAAAATTATAAATCAGGTGATTTAATTCTAATTTTTTTCACAGTTTAATGCCTTTTAAAAAAAAAAAATCCCTTTTCCCATATTTATTTTAGTACCAATATAATTTCTTAAATCATGTAATTCTTAAAAGATAATTGCAGACAACCGAGTCATATATTATTCAATTAATTGGTGATACTTTTACACTAATCTTATAATCAAATAAATATACACTTTCATGTATTAGAATTGTTTATAATTTTCTTTAATTTTATTATATAAATATATAATAAAAAAATTTATCCGCGCATCACACAGGTAATTTACTAATATGTATTGTACAAAGAATACATGGGAGAGAATAAAGTAATAGACCTAGTCCATAGGAACATAAAAATAGACCTAGTCTAAATCAACACAAATATAATACTACTTAAGAGACTAGTTAAATTCCACTAATGTATAGTGCGCAAATCATATAAGACAGGTAAACTATACTAAGATGTGACGGGCTCGATTGAAAAGATATTGGCAAGAATTAAATTTGTGATTTTAAGTACGAGAATCACGATTCACCCACTTGTTTCCACATATAATATAATCCCATTATATTAGTTATATGAATGAATGTTTGTCTGGTTGCACCGGCGGGAATAGACAATTTACGTGCACTATTTATGGTGCGGCCGATTGGAGTATACAAGTATATAACAAAGACAACCTGCAAACGTCTCTCAACTCTCATTGTTTTAATCGAAATCAGCCTAGAGACAAATCACATTGTATTATGGAAAATTCTACTACAAGCATTTCACAAAAACTATGTCTTGATACACACAGTAGTGACAAACACCATAGAAATTCCCTATCTCAAAGATATAGACAACTTATTTATGTATAGTATGTTATCATAATATGCATGTATTTTTAGTACAAGGTTTCAACTATACAAACTTAAACACTTAAATATGTAATCTTTAACAACTAAATATGAAAATCTAATAAATTTTATAAAATCAACGAAAAAGTTAAATTTTAAATCTAAACCGTAAATGTTAGACTTTACGGTTTAGTTGAATTGTTTATTTTATTTGATTTAGTAATTCACTTTTTACTATATAGGGTCTAACATTTACAGTTTAGATTTAAAAATTAACTTTTTCATTGATTTTTAAAAAAAAAAATCTAACCAGATCCATCAAATATTTACAAATTTAAGGCTAAGATTGAATTCTTATTTCTCCCCTATAATACTGTTTTCCCAAGATCCTTAGCATATATATATTAGTGTATCTATTAGTCTATTAATATAATTACTATTACAATATATATTACCATGTATTAATTACGTAGTTCCTTATTAAGTAAATATATATGTATAATAACTATAGATATTAATTACTATATATATTATTATGTATAAATTAATTACTATATACACAGATACGGAGTAGATATTAATTAATTAAAATATGTAATTATATATAAATTAGTATGGTGAATTACTCAGGATTGTCATCACAGTGAAGTGAGATAGAAGAATACACAGTGATGAATTACTACCATTGCATGACTGTTGTGCTCTGTCTCTCAATAATACGCAGCTGCGATGCTGGAGACGGCAGTTTTGCAGAATGCATGTCTGTTAAGAATTCATCATCGCGTCTTCACTCCCCTACCGCTTCTTCATATTCATCACTACTTCAATCTGCTCAACAGAATCCCAGATGGTTAAACTCCACTTCTGCACCCAGGCCTCGGTTCATAGTTACACCAACCACTTTGGCCGAGATTCAAGCGGCTGTTGTTTGCAGCAGAAAGCATGGGATGCAAGTCAGGATGAAAAGTGGGGGTCATGACTATGAAGGCCTGTCATATCTCTGCTACCATTCCCCATTTGTAGTCATTGATCTTGATGATTTCCGGTCAGTTAGCGTGGATTTGGAAGGTGAGACTGCGTGGGTTCAGAGTGGCGCCACAGTCGGGGAGCTCTACTATACCATTGCTAAGGAAAGCGGTGGCAGTCTTGGGTTTTCAGCAGGGTTGTACCCCAGTGTGGGTGTTGGTGGGCACTTTAGTGGAGGTGGGATTGGCACTATGATGAGGAAACATGGGCTTGCAGCTGACAATGTGGTTGATGCTGAGTTGGTGGATGTGAATGGCAGGATTCTTGACAGAAAAACAATGGGAGAGGATCTTTTCTGGGCTATTAGAGGTGGTGGAGGGGCTAGCTTTGGGGTGATTGCGGCCTGGAAAGTTAGGCTGGTTAGGGTTCCGCCCCTCGTGACTGTTTTTTCCATTACCTTGAGTCCAGAACAAGGAATAAAACTCGTCCACAGATGGCAATTCATTGCAGCTAAGCTGCCCAAAGATCTGTTCATAAGAATCCTCATTCAGAAACTAGATGGTGAGAGCCCAGTACAAGTGGTATTTGAGTCACTCTTCCTAGGAAGAAAAAAGGAGCTCATCCCATTGATGAACCAGAGATTTCCCGAGTTAAAGCTCGGAGCAGAAGATTGTACTGAACTGAGTTGGATCGAATCTGTGATGTTCTTTACAGGGTATAGAAAAGGAGAACCATTGGAAGTACTGTTGGATAGAATAACACAATATAAGATGAGTTTCAAGGGAAAATCAGATTTTGTTGAGAAGCCTATGCCAGAGATAGCATTTAAGGGGATTTTGGACAAGTTTTTGGACCGTAAGTTGGTTTTCGTGATAATGGATCCTTTTGGAGGGAAAATGGAAGAAATTTCTGAGGATGAAATTGCTTTTCCCCATAGAAAAGGAAACCTATACAACATACAATACCTGGTGAAATGGGGAGAAGACAGAGAAGGAGAAGCTTCCATACGGTGGATCCGAACGCTCCACGACTTCATGAGGCCCTATGTATCATCTTCTCCAAGGGCTGCCTATGTCAATTACAGGGACCTTGACCTGGGAATCAACCAACACCAAAACACAAGCTATTCACATGCTGCAATTTGGGGTATAAAATACTTCAAAGGTAACTTCAAAAGATTAGCAAAGGTTAAGGGTCAGGTTGATCCAGGTAACTATTTCAGAAATGAACAAAGCATCCCTCCCATGGATTTTAAATCCACATCTCAAATGTATGTGTAAGAGAAGTTTCATTTACTAACATAATAGTACCTACATTTGTAGCATCATATGCAGACTAGAATTTCATTTACAGCTATCTTTTAAAAGGTTAACGGTACCAATATCAAATGCAGCCTAACGTACCAAAAAGGCTGGTTCAAGCATATAATTCCAAAATTGGGATTACTTAACAATAGAAATGAGGGAGGGATATTCATAGATTACAATTTCTATATTTCAGGGAAAAAAAAAAGGTACCTTTGAATATCCCATCATAGTTCAAGAATGAAAGCACAGGCAGGACTAACCAAAGCAGGTTGATAAAAAAAATTCCTACTTTGACAACTTGTGCATGGAAACTTGATGTCCGTCTAAATACAAAACACAAGGAAAGAAACCAATACATCCCTCTCCCATACATTCTACTGATCATTGCACAATAGGGATGTGTCCAGTTTGGTGACTTTTACTTGAAGAAACCAAATTCCTGAAAGACGATTGGTGTTCATTGCTCAACAGTGAAAACCACTTCCTTAAGCAATTGGCAGAATCATATTGACTTCCAAATTCAGAAATTTCAGTATTGCTTTCCACAACCTCCTCGAAGTTGAGAGAAATGAGGCCAAGTAAAGCAGTTCCAATGGAAAACTGGACGTCAAGACCAACTGTTTTAGAATCACACTGGCAGAGTAATGCCAAGAACCATGTTCTCAAGCTCTGAACCCCAATGTCTTCATATCCATTAGCAGAAACCCCAAACCTGTAAAGCAAATAATAGTCACAACAAATGTTTAACAGCATGTAGTTTACAAAAATAATAATAATAATTGCATAAGACCAAACAAATGTTTGCAGAAATATCATCTTTCTCATGGATTACCAAAAGGAGATCAGACGAACATGCATGCTGTTATGAGTTATCCACCACCTTGATATGTTTTAACTAAGGCCCTGTTTGGTAAATGGCTGTTAGCTGATTGGGTTAATTAGAGGGTATAATTAGTTGATAACATTAACTGATTGTAGAAAGGTGTTTGGTAAATTAGCTGTTAGCTGATAGCTGTTTGGTATAATTTCTTTCCTCAAAAAGCTAATTGAAAAAATTGCTTTGAGTAGCTTTTTGAATTTTAGCATTTTGGAGTACAAAAAGCTAATTAACCAAACACTTATATTGATTTTTAAACCAAGTCAAACAACTAATAGTGGTCAAATAAGCTAAAATTGGACTATAGGCTAACTATTTTACCAAACAGGGCTTAAGTCCTTCATATTTCAAAAATAAAAAATTTAAAATGAAGAACACAGGGAAGGTTGTTATCCTTTTCTGGTATGTATGAAATACTTGGTCGTTCAGGTCTTGACCATCTGTCTGTACAGATGAATGGTCAATAATAGAATACCAATATACCATGTTTTAAAATTTAAATGTTAAAGCCCCAACTAAATGTTGCATCCATTGCCAAGTCAAGAACGAAAAAGAGATTAAACCAATGAATAGAAAATATCCTCCAATTCTGAAATACTCCATACCTTCCAAGTTGTGCGAGAAGAATAACAATGGCAGCAGGAACATGCTCCAGTAAACATGATTCCAACATTTTGAACACTGGGCAAACAATGCTCTCAACAGTCCAATCCCAGCTCTGCAAGAAATATGCAATGCAAGTAGCTCCATTAAATGAACTACAAGGAAAACAAGTATAGCAACTTCCTATGAGATTTTCTATATACAACTGTGTTATGTCCTTTATCATATCCCTTGATCATTTTAAATTACTATAGAGTATTAGAAACAGAAAATATAAATGAAAAAAAAATTTTTTAAAAATATGGAAGGAAAGAGCTTGGCCTCTGACATGTACTAAAAAGTTCATAATTTTATAATTTTGTTACAGTATATTCAGATAATTTACATTCACTCATGTTGTACCCTAAATCTTCAACTATATCCTTAAGGATCATAAACCCCAAATGATCAACCTCCATATAGTCAAAGTACTATGTGTTCCCTCCTATATATGAAACTACATTTTGCTCTCTTATTCTTCCCCCATGTCTAACCTTGAGGGAAGAATAGAGATGCAGAGATTTGGAGAGAAGACTAGAAAGGTATCCTCAGTACTTTGCAGACCCACCCTAGGACACAGATAGCAGATTATTAGGGAGTTGAGTCAGGTGATAAGTGAGTGGTGTTTTTAAAACCTGTCCTGACCTGAACCTGTGACAAGTGGAATTTTTTAAACCCACCCGAAAACTGTCACCAAGAAAAATCCCTAGCCCCTTTGGTCCATGTTCCTGCAGGTTGGGTCAAATTGCCACCTACCCTCCAGACAGATTGTTTGGAAAATGTATGCATAACCTTCTAGATTTTTCCAAACAACATACCTTGTAGAGTAAAAAGATCTATTTAACTCTTCATTGAAACAGCAATTGAAATAATTAAGAGTGATGAATTTCAGAAGCATACCATGAAACAGGCTACAAGCTCAATTAGTGCAAGGACATCAACTAAGCAGCACACATTGCCATCAGTAACAGTGTGCGATATGACCACCTCTCTGTGAGCAGAAATGTCCATAGTTTTCTCTGTATCATACTGCTCTCCAGCTGTTGATGGATGGATTGTGTCAACCAAATCCTTTTCCCTTACACTAGACCAGGCACAGTTCTGAAGATTGTCTAGGAGCATTGTTGCGATGACATCCATCGAAAATGTATCTTCAGAAAATGGGCACTTGCCGTCTGACCATATATTGGACAGACCCTCAGGCAAAGATGGGAAACATGAATTCGGTTCGAGAGGATTAAGCTTCTCAAGAACCATAACAAGGGATCTCACCACAGCCATTACAAAGCTATACTCCTTGATGCTAAAGCACTCAGGCCCACACAAATAGGCAAAGATATGAAGAATTGTTAGTGCAAATGAAGTGTCAGATCTAGACATCCTCAGAATGTTGCACGAAGCCTCACAAATGAAACCAATATGGTCAACTGCAGCACATAATGATGCTAACAAAATGCCCCCAACTACTAGCAAGTTTACAGAAGCTGCTTGACTAAACAAACTTACACTATTACCATTCACAAAAAAGTTGATCCTTGAATTGTTTGAAGGCTTTGAACCAGAGCATACACCATCAAATACCAGGACTTTTTTATGTAAAATGAAGTCCTCTAATAGAGCAAGCAGTTCATACAAATTGCATGATTTGAAAAAAATTATTCCAGTGTTCTCATCAGAAAGCTCTGCAGATTTAAAGAAGTCATGATAAGTTGATCAATATTAAAATTATTAAAAATGGAAAATATTCCAGGTATTAAACATGATATTTCCACATAAAAGAAGGATAGGACCAAAAACCTGCATATATGTGCTTAGCAAAAGATGCAATAAACAGGACTGAGTCTCTATCCCAACCATTTCTGATGTCCCTTGGTGCCATTTCAGAAATGTAGTGCAGCACAAGTGACAAGAACACGGAGGCCTTCTCTCTGAAGAAAGTAAAAATGGAGAAAATATTAACTCCTTTCTCCATTCTTATATTTTAGACAATCTTACAAGTTACAAAAGCACCAAAGACTCAAATACTCAATCTCATGTAACAAAGGATAATATGAAAAGAAAATTCATTGATAGGCCAACAAGCAACAAAATTCATGCTAAATCAGTGAGGAACAAAAGATGATAATAAAACTTGATTCAAGCATAAAGATAATTCTACCAAAAGCACCAAATTCTCAATCCCAAGAACATAATGTGGAAAGAAAATTCATTAATATGGCCAATGAGCAATGAAACTCATGTTACATGAGGACCAAGAAGCACTTATATAACTTTATTCAAGCACATTTGAAAAAATGCAGAGGAAATATGGCAAAAACATTATCCAAATTTATTCACAAGAAAAACCATTAACATGAAACAGCTATTCACAATGTTCACACTTAATTGTATACAAGTTGATTACAAATCAATGACTAATAAAACAAGAAACACCAAGAAGGTTGGTGCTCAACAGATTGACAGAACAGACAGCAGTCATCATCCATCAATCCATCATGACGCATTTTGGTGGCGTGAGAACAATGATATGCACCCATGACCATCATAAATAAGTTATTAATACACTCAGTATACTAATTGGGCTAACAACTATTCTATTTTCAAGACAATCATAGACAATTCATTTGCAAATCCCACTCCAACACTTCAATACAAACTGCAGGTTACTTGTCACAAACATTGCAAGAAACATATGGGGAATGCGATGTACCACAAATAGCAGAGAAGCTGAAGTCCCAAGAAAGCTTACACACAACCCAGACATTAATAATAACAGAATCTCAGATAATGAAGAAAAGAAAATTATTTTTAAAGGGTAGTATGATTGAAAGAAATAAAACATAAGCTGCTTACTTATTAGCTGAAAGATCTTGAGCATTAGAAATGAAGATGAGAATATTCCTAACAAACAAATTTGAAGAAGAAACCATTGGACACTGAACTATAAAGTTGTTGGCTGCAGAGTATACCCTGGAAATGCCTTCGTCTTTGTCATTATTTGAAAACACAACATAACATTTTGGAATACTATGACTTGAAGGAATGTCTCTGCTTCCACCTGAAATCTTCGATCTCTCATTTGCACAGGCTGATGTATCAGGCATACCCAATGATTCACCTGAAGAATTAGATGTATTAACATGGGTAATTTGAGAGTGATCAAGCCTATTACCATTTAAGCCAGATGTATCAGCATGATCGCTAATCTCTTGTAATGATGAATTTGAAGCCCCTAAGGTGTCAAGCTTTGCCGTATTTGAATCAATTTCCACGTCAAGGACATCAAAATGTTCTAATGGAGCGAGGTTCTCCTTCATATGCGCAAATTCCTTAAGTGAAGTTTTATCTGATAAGAGATAAGATTTACTCACTACAAGTGCATCGCTGCTTTGACACTCAATCTCTGGAAGTGTAGGTGACAAAGGCATTTCAACTGCTAAACGATAAGATTCTTCATCTACAGTATTATCCAAATCAAGAAGCTTCATGTAGTCATTTCCAATCACTAACTCAAAATCTCCAAGAGCATCACTCCTATCCTTCCAACCATGAGCAGTTTCACTACGATGTTGGACAGATGAAGTTGATTTTTTGTGGATGTCAGAACCTTCAATACCTAACATTTTGAGGTTCGCATTTTCCCTATTTGCTACATTTAAATGACACTTATTCTGTTCCTCAAAAGAAGCCTTTCTCTTCTTGTAAGATCTAGCATGCAGATTGCAAATATTCCCTTGCACATCGGGAAGCAAACACCTTTCAACGTTTGCAGATTTATCAGTTTGACTTTCTAACACAGTATGCAGGAGAGGTAATTTCTCAGAATGCAAACTTTCAATAGACCTCTTCCTTTTCTTTTGATGTAGTCCTCTCCTCTCAGTAGCAAAACCACTAATAGGACTTTTGGCACTAGTTTCTGTTATTGTTGCAAGATTCTCATTACACTTTTCTTTTGAATCACAAGATAACCTCAATATGGCTGCTGGAAGGTTTGATTTCTCTTCTGCAAATTTAGCTGATGTGGTGCCAGAAGTAGGTCTTTCCTGTGAGCCCACCAATGGTCTATCAGAAAAAGATGTCGAACTGGAATTTATGGCAGAACTCTGTAATACTTTTCTATTGAAGCCTTTAAGCAACGGCTCCAATTTAGAATTAATACCTGAAACATTTCTAGTGCCATTTCCTCCAGATATAGCAAGCAAAGATGCACTACCTTCCATATTTTCTCTGAATGAATCAGTTTCACCAGCAGCAGCCACTCGAGCAAGCCCATCTTTGAGAAGAGAATGCATCTGATATGGTTCAACACCAAATTGTTGGTTTTTCAAGTTTACCTGCAGAGTAGAAAATTATCAAAACAAGACCACCTGAATGAGATTGCACACTCTATTCAACTACGGAAAGAAACACTATGAATTACATCTAACAAGATTAGAGAGGAGAAAACAAGCTTAATACAAGTCTATAGGTAAGTCAAACACCTATCAGTGGGAATTTTAGGTCAGAGTACAATAATAAAAGCCTACCACCCAAGCAAATTGATCAAAATAAGCATTCCAACTAAAATGAGCTTTAGGTAGTAACAAGCATAAGAAAAACCAACCTTTTCCAGGTCATGAATACCTTCACCTCGGCAAACGAAATACTTATCCAACAAATTCAAGCGCTTTGAAAACTGAGAAAATTCTTGTTTTAAGCATAGTAGTTCTTCTTGTAGTAAACAATTACGAGCTTTTTCAAGCTCTGTGGCTTCTTCAGAGTGCTTTACTATCATCTTTTCCAACTTCAATTGCTTCTTCAAGAATTTCATTTTAGCTGTTTGGTATTTGAAACTCCTATCATGCGAATGAAGAGGAGATTCAGCAAATGATCTTGAGGAAATAAGGACGTGGATTTCCTTTTGTAGCTCCTCTAGCCTTTGCTTGTTATTTTTAAGCTCACGTGATAACTGATCAGCACGGCACTTTTCTTCTGCAGCCTTTTTCTTGTATGCCTCAACTTTTTTCTTATCTTCTAGTTTTTTCATCTCTAACTGAGCAAGTTTTTCTTCTACTTCTCTCTCCTTATCAGGTAGCTTATCAACTAATTTTCTAGATGACTTAAGTTCAACTATCTCCTTCTTTAAAATTTCAATCCTTTGCCTATGCTGGTCCAACTGCTTTGACAAATCATCAGCTCGGCGTTTCTCATCCATGGCAATCTTTAAGTTTGTATCAGCAAGCTTTGTTTGCTCTACAGCTTTAGATATTGATGAGTCTGCCGATTTTCTATCTTCCATTCTGTTTTGTACTTCCGTCTCCAGCTTCTTTTTCATCTCTACCAATTTTGATGTCTCGGAAGCCAACTTCAATTTTACTTCATTAGCATCCTTCATCGCAGTCTCCAACCTAAGCCTATTTTCCTCAGCCTTTTTTCTTTCAATATCAACAAGCCTCCTTTCTTCATCTGCCCTATTTTTCTCAGATTTCAATTTTTTCCTTAAATCATCAGCTTTTTTCCTCTCTGCCTCAGCTTTCTTTTTCTCTGAATCAGCTCTAGTTCTCTCATTCTCAAGAAGCTCCTTAAGCCGGCTAACCTCTGCATCCTTTTCTGAGAGAACTTCCCGAAGTTGTACCATTTCTCTCTCCAAATCTTGACTGGCTGGACCTGGATTCTGCTGCAATGAAAGAATATTGGACCTTAAAGAGCCAACTTCACTCTCTAAGGAGGCCCTCAGAGCTGATTCTTTTGCTTTTTCTTCACTCCAATTGTCTGCTCTGACTTTCTCACTCTCATAAGCTGAAATAAACAAAAAGTTATTAACAGAACCATTGAGGATAGATAAACTGAACAGCATAAGCACAAAATCTTGTGAATTATAGGAATAGCACATAAGAGTTGCCAAGAGGTCCCATCATGCAGGTCTATGGAAGGAGGGCAAGCACAACCTTACCTCTATTTCTCAAAGTGGTGGTTTCAAGTGCTGAGCCCATAACTTTCAGTAGGAATGAGCCTAACTACTACGCCAAGCCCAATCTTAGAAACAAAAGGTCTGTTGTTAAATAGAGGACTCATACAGCACTATAACTAATATATTTTCATTAATTCTACATTAATGAAAAAGAAATGGGAATTGAAAATTTTCAGACATCAGTTTTCCATTGCTAAAATCATATACACTCCCTAAGTTGTAGTCGCGAAATTCAGAGTAAACATTGATGTTTCTAAGTAATAGCTAAATTATTTCATAAACTCTATCTCAACCAAAAGGATTTTTCCACTCCTGCAATTATATATTCTCCCAGGAATAGTCTGCAAGTTGAGTACAAAATCCTAATATTTCTAACTTCCCATTAAAAATTAATGAAATAAGAATCAGACAAGTTTATTCATACACAAGCTTAACGATTTGGAAATTTAAACAAAAATAAATAAATATCAGTTCAGCAGTACCCTTCTTGAGAGTGAGATTCTCGGATTGTATCTTGGTAATTTGTTGCTCAAAGATGGATAGGCCCTTGCGAAGAGCATTGCGGCCATCTTCGAGCTTCGAATACCTCTCCTTCAACTTGGCGTACTTTTCCTTCCACTGCAGAAAACACGTAAATTTCTGTAAGATAAAATTTAATAAACAAAAATAAAAATAAAAATTGCAAGATGAAAAAGCAAACTTACGGCAATACAGCAGGAGCTGGATAGCTCTTCTTTAACCATCGCATCCTCCTCCGCCATCTCCGCTTCAACCAAGAACGAGAGAGAGGGAAAAAGGCGCCTAAAGCCCTAAGCCCTAACCCCTTTTGGATTTTTTTCTTTTTATTTTTATTTTAGTAGAAAATAAAAGGAAAATGTAGGCAGTATTTTCTTTCTGTAAATGCTTACTGAACCGCCATTACAGGTAAGTAATTTCTTCAGGGAATCTGTGGAATCATGGGGTAAAGGAAAAGCCGGTTCACTTCCTAAATTATTGGCAAAAATAATTTAAAGTTAAAATTCAGAAATATCAGGATTTATTAAAAAAAAATATCAATTAAATAAGGAAAGGAAAAAGATAAAAAATCAGTCTCTAACTCCTATTCTGAGTCCTATTCTGAATACAACGGGGTTCAAAGAGGGGCTTTAATCACCTTCCATCGAGAAGAGTCACAAAGGTGCTACAAGATGCTTGGCACAAGGTTCAAGAACTTAATCACTATAAAGTATAAGTAGAATCTTATATTGTTCTAGTTCGCATATGAATAGTATGAAATGTAGTTTTCAATAAATAGATTGAAGATCAAAAATCTATTGTGTCAAAGTGTCTCTCACCTTTGTACTTTAAATTGTGCTTATACTGAATTAGGGTTTTCTTCTAATGCATATATAGAATTGCCTCGCATAAAACGACATTCAAGAACTCCTTGATGCATATACATAGATGCAATCAAAATGGCAAGAACTTATCAGAATTAATAGCAATATCGTGCAGAAAAATCGAATATTGGAAAGTGAAAGGGAAAGAAAAAAGCAACTACATGAAGAAACCAGAGAAAAACTACGAAAATCTCAGGAAAAAGAAATAGAATTGACGAAAGAAATAGAACAACTAAAAAGGGGAAATCCAAGAATAGAGACCTTGAGACCATCTCCAACCTGACGTCAAACACCAAATTGGCAAAAGAAATGGACGCAGAATTGCTCCAAAGAACACCGTATTGCGGAAAAAATTTGGCGTTTCATGAATAGTGCGGTTTCATGAAACGCCATTTTTGGCGTAGTATTTTATTTCCTATTTTGCCTCTACTTTTATTAGTATGATCCCCGTGCGATGCACGGACTATGTTATGTTATGATAATAAGAATTTTTAGTGTTGTACACGTGTGTTGCACAGAAAATTTTTTGTTATTATGAATTTAAATTAAAAAATGAAAAAATATTAAAATGGACAATATATAATAATATAGTTGGATGCTTATATATTTGGTCAAATATCTAGTTACATAACGTACAATATTTAAATTTAAATTTTATATGGTTAATATAATCTCTAATCATGTACATATTTACATAAATTTATAGAAAAAATTTACATAATTAAGTAGATTTATTCATAATTGTAATTCATATATATTATAATTCTAAAAATATGAATAATAACTAAGAGAATTATACTTAGAAATTAATTTAAAAAATGTAAATTTTAAATTTTGTATGGGTAAATTTAAACTCTAATCAGACACATTTTCTTATATGATTATATAATACATTCTATATACACATAATATTTATTAATATGTATAATGTATATAGAAAAATTCTATAATATAATTTCACTAATTATAATTTATATTGATAGAGTTATAATTTAAAAGTTATATTTAGAAATTTAAAAAATAGCATTTAAATTTTGTATGTTTAGTATAGTGCATAAGTGTATATATGTATGTATTTACACAATTTATAAATGTTTATATTTTGTTAATTTGATAATTTCATTTCCTTAATTATATTTCATATTTTATTAATTATAATTTAATTAATGAAATTGTCACAAATATATTCACAGAAAAAATATTATATTTCTGAATTCCTCACCGTCACATTCTTACTCTCTCTAGAAAAAGGCAAAGTAGGATGAGAAAAAACATAGAAACTTGAATAGCATATACAAACCTCGAAGTCAACATACTAACTATAAGTTTCAGAAAATCCTACAAAATTATCAAAATCACCATCGTTATCATAATAATTTCATGAAAAAATGTAAATGGAGATTAACATAAAATTACTATAATATTTTCTACGTATTTAGGGGCAATTTAATTTTTCAATTTTAAGTTAAAGTTTGATTTTTTTTTTCAGGAGCTTTTTTCCCAGAAATAGATATGTTTAAAATTTTTTTATTTATCTATTTTAAATAGAGTTCGTGCCTTTAGCTGCTTCAATTTAAAATTCGATTTTGCTCGGTTTTGGTGAATTTTTCATTGAAGTCTAGACTTCAATAGAAATTTCAAAGATAAAGTTGAAGATAAAAGGTCAAAAATATCAATTTCACTGTGAAATTGATGATTTTTTACTTTTTATCTTCAACTTTGTCTCTGAAATCTCGCTAGATGAGGATTTTTGTTTATATAATTTTATATTAATTGTAGTTAGCTTATTCAGTTATTTTGACCTTTAAATTTCTTTTATCTTTGGACAAATCTGGCTACTTCATATTGATTCACAATTTTTTTTTTAAAAAAAGGTAAATAATACTTGGTAGTTCAGATCCGTGACTTAGTCCTTGATCTCTATCCTTAACTTCTGTGTTTTTGGTGTTGAAACCATGGTTCTGTTTCGTTCTTCGTATACATCTTGTAATGATCTCATAGGAATAAAGAGAAGAAGAAGAAAAAAAATGAATCACTTCCCGATTTAGCAAAGCGCTTCGTTGCCTATGAGGAGAAGAGGATTTAATTTCCGATAAGAAAAACATCAGCCCTTCTTTACCGCCGGAAAATTACAAAATCAGCTTTGTAGCCAATGTTACCAGGGTCTCCATCAACGCCCAATCCGTTGGATCCAGCGGCACTAAAAACACTTCAAGCAACAATTGCAAATAATAATAATAATAATAACAATAATAATAATAATAATAATAATAATAATAATAATAATAATAATAATAATAATAATAATAATAATAATAATAATATAATAATAATAATAATAGTAATAATAATAATAATAATAATAATAATAATAATAATAATAATAATAATAATAATAATAATAATCATCATCATCTTGAAAGGTGTAAAAAAAATACTTACGTTTTCATGAGTGTAACACCAAGATATGATTCCACATAGAAGACGGGAAGAAGAGGGAAACAGTGCAAAATGAAAAGTTATGATTTTCAAACTCACCAATCCATTGTATTTATAGGTAGAAAATATGAGAATTATGAATTTGTATAATTTTTTAAAAAGGGGAAAGTGTAATTATGAAATCTTATTAATTAATTGGTTTTAATTAATTTCCAATCAAATTATAGTATATTTATTTTGAAGGAATTATAGTATATTTATTAGTGTTGTAACATATGTAACGTACATATATATATATACTAGTCTTTTTTATGCGCGATGCGCAAAAACATATGCCCAACATTTATAATTTTAAAAATAACTAATAGATTTTTACTAATTAAAATCTAAGTGAAATAAAATTTATTTATTATATTAATCCAATATATAATGAATATATAATGTTGTACAAATATTGTTATTATTAAAAAATATAAGAAAAGATATGATGGATGCATGTGTATGGTAAAAGTAATGGAAAAGATAACGGAAGTTATAATGGTAAAGGTATTTTTGTCCAAAAAATTGTATAGTACAACTCTAAAAGCACAATGTACAAAATGGTTAGCATTGAAAACATGGACATAAATGAGGGATATAACTTTTATTGAGACTTATTATGTTTTTAGATATATATATATATATATATATATATATATATATATATATATATATATATATTAGGGCACGATAATATATTTAATTTAATATTTAATATTTAATATAATAATAATATAATAATAATAATGATGTAATAGAAGTAAAATTATATTAGGAAGTAATGATTTAATATAAAACTTTATCAATAAATGTGAACATAATAAATGCATTTATATTGCTAGTCTCATTTGACCAATTATTATTATTATTATTATTATTATTATTATTATTATTATTACTATTACTATTACTATTACTATTACTATTACTATTACTATTACTATTACTATTACTATTACTATTACTATATTATTACCATCAGGATGGATGACTCGAGAGAAAGTCACATACAATTGTCTGTGATTAAAAATCAATTTTTTTAGCAATAACTCAAAGTGAGTTAGTGCTTGGCATTGGTTTTTGTTAATAGTCATAGCATATGCAAGCATCAATGGGAATTGTTTACGTTGGAACTTGAAGGGCAATTTCGTATCAGAAAGAGTGAGAAACATTCGGGGGAAAAGAACTTTGGTTCCTTCATGTGTCCCATTAACTATTCTTGCTTCGACAATGTGATATGTCAATCTTGTGATAATGAGCCGCGTCGCGTTACAAAGACCAAGAGAGTGGTCTATGTTCCACAATAACATAACAGGTGCACCGACCATTAATGTCAATGAATGATTACGAAGAACCGACAATCTCAAACTATTTAAGAATTCAGGAGTGTGTACTTCTGATAGATTTTCACTGTCTGATTCTGTCTTATATAAAGAATCACAACTTAAATATGTTCGTCCTTTTGCAGTATTCATGTCGCACATGTACTGATTAATTTGATCAACTACATCTAAAGTCAGTGAGAGGATCGCTCGACCTTCTAGCTGTGAGTCTGTGACTCGTCAAGCATGTCATAGTTGCTATGTGATCATGTCCACACTTCAACAAAAATCATGCCGGAATATCGATCTCAAATGAACCGCGTTTACAACCCCTTCAATCTCATCTCCGATGTCTGCAATCCATTTTGAAAACCAATCAACCGTCTATCTATCTTCCTCTCAAACTAAGGTTCGTAGTCTCAAGTTCTTGGTGAGTCTTAATACCTTGTAATTTGTCCACATTTATGAAGAATTAATAGTTGCTACGACGATTACTGGTCTTGTTGCTTTTGGAATAACAAGTACGATCTGTCTAAAATCGTCGCCTAAAACTACTATCTTTTCACCAAAAGTCTTTTTAGCACTAGGTGAACCTCAATAGGTCTCTCATGGTTTTGTCCAAAGCCTCAAAACAGTGTTTGCGCGTCATCAATGTTTCATCCCATATTATCAAT